AAAGAAGAAGTAAATAGGAATACAGCTCCAGTGCCATGAGCCAAAACATGAGTGTGTGTGTGTGTGTGTGTGTGTGTGTGTGTGTGTGTGTGTGTGTGTGTGTGTGTGGTTGCAGTGACGGGACAGTGACAGTAGGTGTGTAACTAATGATGCCACCTTATAATGAGGCTGACACAACCGTTCACACTCACACATTTCCATTGCATGACCCTCATTATTCCCCTGTGGATTTATGGCAGCAGACTGATGTGCATTTATGTGCATTTTCAATAGGACGGCCAGATTAAGAGAGCGGCATTAAAAACTGAGTCAGGGACAGACCAAACGCTCATCTTTCATTATTCATGTCTGGTTTAGTGGCGGCATTCTGCTGCCGTGGTACAAAGAGAAGTAAAAAAAAAAAAGAAAAAAAGTGACACAGGAAGAAGGAGAGAAGAGAGGAAGAATTACAAAATGAAAGATGAGGAAGGGAAAAATTAGACAGAGACGAGGTAAAAAGGGTTAGAGAGAAACATTATCTTTTGATGTACTCCAGTGAAACAGCTCATTACAAACCAGAGCAACAAAAGAAAGTAGCCTGTAAAAATTCTCCAACTCCCACACACAACCCACAAACACAGGCACGACAGCATAACTGAGGAGAATACAAAACAATCTACAGTAGCCCACAGAGGCTCAATTGACATTTTAAAACATACAGTGAGAGACAGAGACAGGTAGACAGAGAAAGCAAAAAAACAAGGACTAAAGAGATGTGAAACATTTTGGCATTTTTCTGGCCCAATGCACTGAGCGTATTCCAGGATGGAGCAAATTCTTTATACTCCTTCTCCCCTAGGCCTCAATCTGCCTTTCAGCTACCTCCCTCCCTCCCTCTCTCTCTCTCTCTTTCCCCCCTCTCTTATCCATTCACTTTCTCAACACCCCTCCCCACTTCCCCTTCTGTGGATTTACACATGCCTCCTCCAAATTCCACTCAGTTATTTTCATTTTGGGGTAATATTTATTCCGCCGATGTTTATTCATGACACAAGGTTCTGAGAGAGAGATAAGAAGCCAAGTGCTGAGCTGGCCCCGAGGGCTGTAAGGGCTCCAAGTCAGTCAGCACACACACTCACACACACACACACACACAACACACATGCACATAAACACATAAAAAAAGAACCTACTGTTTGTATAAGCATACACACACGCTAACTCTCCCACAAACACACGCACACACTACGTTTTCAGCTTCTCATCACGTACAAACTGAGGCGTTTTGTCCGTGAAACGCCACTATCATTATCAGATTGAGACTGAGCCGGCTGCCTCCCTTTGCCGGTTCTGTTTGTCAGGGAGAAACATTTTTTTTGATTTGTTTTTGAGATGTCAGTACCAAAACATGCCTGACCCTCATCTGTCAGCAGTGTTTATCATGATGTCATGACAGACACACACACACACACACACACACACACACCATGAGGGAGGCTGTGTTTCTTTTCCAAAACCTCCCTCCTACGCGTAGTTGCCTACTTGGTGCTTCTGTGTATGCAAGTGTGCATGTGTGTGTAGACAGATTTGCAGTTTAAATGGCCAGAGGGAGAGACGTGATGCACAGAAAATGAGGCATTTGTTTCTCAGAGTGGGTTAAAATCCTTCTTGTTCTCCCTCACTGGCTCCCAAATCTGCTCAGCCACTTTTCTATTTCTACACCTTTCTCTAAGTCCCCAGACAATAAACACCAATCTGATCCCTTTCTGTGTCTCCTGCACCTTTTCCACCTTTCCAAATTCTGAGAGTCTCAGCTTGTGTTTGGCATGGGGCTGGTGCCTGCCTGTTAGATCACAATGGTCCTAAAATAACTATCTATAATCACACTTTGAGGTTTAATTGGTTCCATAGAGTTTGATAGAGTTTCCATAGACTATAGAATGATTATATAATACTAAACCATGTTTGGACAACAATGTACATAGATGGCAAAATATCCATTGTGTTCCCATAGATTAACTCCCATGTCTAATGTTAACATCTTAGGCTACCCACATTAAGCTCTAATGACCCAGTATGCACTGTTCTGGTGTTCTGCAAAATGCCTAGTCACTGAAACACTATTGAAACAGCTATAAGTAACCTGGATGCCTAAATATTTCATTTAAAGGTCCAGTGTGTAACATTTAGGATCTGTAGGCTTGTGCGAGAGTGAGATGAGAGTGTTATATTCTGCAACTTCACCACATCCTACACACTGGTCCTTTAATCAAATAACCTATAGACGTTTGGATGTCTATTGACCTGCAAATCTCATTTAAACATTTTGAAAAATAGGACCTCTGTAAACAATTCTTAGAGTTCCTGAAAACCCATATCCTCAATCAGCTTCTTCATATAAGAGAACATGCACATACAATTGTCTTTTAGAACAGAGTTGGTTATTTCACATGGGAAATGTCTCGTGTTTTTGTTTGTACTATTCTCACTGAAGTGGGCAAGGCTCAGTTGGAGTATGGTATGTAAGGTAAGGTAGGTGAGTTTGATTAGAAAATCGGATCTGGTCTGAAAATTTGATGACACAAATCTGATCAAACCACACTCATACAGTCCTCGTGAAGCAGATCAGCTGAATTTATGACTGTTAAACTCTTAACACATGAAGCTTATGAATGTTTCCCCGCAAATTAGCCATAAATATTTAATGTTATATAGGAGAATTTAAGATTTAAACCCAGGGGTTCAGATGCTTAGTAGTAATCAGAGTAGATTCACAGGAATATCTACCTGAGACATTGTAAGACACTAAAATTGATTGCAAAATACAGGAAAAGATTTGCAGTATTTGTAGAAACAATCCTACTACACCAACTTCAATTAATCATATTTATTTTTTATGAAGGAAAACCCTATAATGAAAAATACTAACACACATGTGACAGTATGTTAGTCTAGTCCCTGAATGTAGTAATCTGCCAGGGACACATGGATGATTTTGTGTCTCTATAAATGTCCCTAAATACTAGTCAACTGAATAAAACAGAATACAGTGATTAGGTTAACAGACATTATGTCATTTTTATATGTAAAAAAAATCCTTTTGGATGTTAAAAAAATAAAAACTATTTCCTCGTCTAACCATCACAACATTTTCAGACAGGAAACCTGAAGTGACCAGGGAAAATATTTGGACCACGAGCACCACCTGCTGGATGTTTGGCGCAGGTGCAACATATTTTGGTTTATCTGAGGATGCAGATGTGCAAAAAAATAATTTGGGTCAGACAAAAATAAGCGACTCCAAAAATAGTTTAAATATATATATTTAAAAAATGGTATCACTGTGATTCAGTATGTATTTTTCACAAGATAAAAGAAGTTTATTGACCAAGCCCAACTCAAAATCCCTACTTCAGGCTGCAAAGCCATTGCCTCAGAGCCCGAGGTTATTTATGTAACAGAATGAAAACATATCTTGAAAAGACTTGACATTGAGCCTTTTCACCACTAGGTGGAGAAGTGGGACAGGGGGAGGAAAAAAATGGAAATAATGGTCCTTTTCTCCACTGGATTTGATCCCAATTTCAGGCTGCACGTACTCCGCTCTTCTGCAGCCCTGAAGCAGACAGCCTGGTTCCTTGGACGTCATATGATAAGGCTGGAGGAGAGCCAGCAGGCCCCCATTTGGAGAGGAGGACCCACATCTCAGTCAACGCGCGCAGCCAGGGCCCCCTTTATCTCTACAAGGCAGGGAGGCGTACCCCCCCCCCCCCTCCCCTTTCTCCCACTCCCCTTCACATACCACTCTCCCTCTCTCACCCATGCACTAACTAGACTACAACCTGCTTTCAGACGACGCCCCATCGCCCATGAGATTTCCACCGTCGTGCGTCTTTTTCGGTCGAGAGGAAACCATCGGGCTCCGGTTATTGTCGGACTGTGCGCTCAGGCTGCGCACGGCATCACCTCGGCAATAACAGAAAGGGGTGCCAGCCAGAAGAAGTAGAAGAAGAAGAAGAAGAAGAAGGAGGAGGAGGAGGAGGAGGAAGAGGAGGAGGAGAGAAAGGGGTGTTAGAGTATTCCTAATTGACGCTCAGAGATAAACAAGGAGACACCCTGTTTGGAAGACGTCTGTGGCGGGAAGCGACAGGGATCTGCAACTGAGTAAGTCGTGATTTGCGGTGTGTGCGGTGTGTGCCCGGTTGTTTTCCTCAGGCTGACCTGCTTTTGGTGATTTTGTCCAGAGGCTGGTTGTGCAGCGGCGCAATATTTAAGCTTCCAGCCCGGCAGCATCCTTTGACTCGGACAGGATAGAGGGATGACAGAACGGGGCAGAGGGATGGAGACACGGCAGGGGAGGTTCGGGGGGTAGAAAAGGAAAAATATTGGCGTTAAATATCTGTAGGCTACCAGTGAATGTCCTTCCTGTAAACGCGATCGCTGCATTCGTATGAGGTTGCAACTAGTAATCACAAGCGGCGCACCATCTTTCAAGGGGAACGTGAAATGCAAATGTACCATAACAAGCTGGCAATAAAGTCATGCGCTGGTTAGGGGTTGAATTACAGGGGAGGGAAATAGCTGCATTATTGTGTCATGTCAACAACCCTTATTAGATGCCCAGAAGGCCCGCTTTACTGTACTGTACTCCCAAGCCATGACACAGCCAGACCGACAGGTGTAACGGGACGACATGTTTACGCGAACCGCTTTTGATGATCCATCATGTAACATCGATCTGTTTTGCGAGGATGTTTTTGTTGTTGTTGTTTTTTTTTTTTTTGCCTCGATGGTGAATTTCCAGTGGCGCCAGCAGCCGTGCATGACCGTCACTGCATGGGTGAGAGATGCTGAGAGGCTACAGGCTGTGGAGGAGAGGAAAGGAGAGGAGAGTAACGGGGTATTCTGTGGTGTGTTGTGATGTGAGCAGTCTGCTCCAACATGGCGCGCATTAGCTGTAAAAGAAAAGGAAAAAAAAAAAAAAAGCTGTAAAAAAAAAAAAAAAAAAAAACCTTGGCCATTACATACTCCTGTCTGGAATTCACACCGTGCAGTGCACCAGGGAGTTTGGTTTATTATACCAGAGAATGAGACTTGTGCATCCCTGAGGTTTAGCTCGAAATTCAGCTCAGGTTGCCACTGGTGATAGAGTCTGGCTCCTGTGCCCTGTCAGAATATCACGTAGGCTTGTGTGTGTGTGTGTGTGTGTGTGTGTGTGTGTGTGTGTGTGTGCTCTCCTTTCTGTGTCTATTCCTGTCCCTGAATAGAACAATATCGAGTGGACCGACTCCTGCTTTTACTCTGTTTTTGTAATTATGTTTGATCACAGCAGGTGTAGGCGCAACCAGACAGAGAGTGTTTTTGTTTGGTCTTGTGTCCATTGTTTTCTCTCCTCAGCCCTGTGTGACAAGACCACCAAGTTCATGATGATAGCATATAACACACCCCTTTGGATTCGTGTGGAGTCCTCGAAGCACATCAGCTGTTTGTTTTATTCATCCACATAGCTACGGTGACACCTGTTTGATTCCTGGAGATGGTGGGAAAATAAGTGCAGTGAAAGTGATTGACTCTTCTTCCATGACAGTTTCTTCTGAGGTGACAGCCCAGGTGTGAATATGAGTGTTGCTGTTGAAAATGAGCCAAAGTGAGCATGTTTACAGGGTCAAGATAAGTGCAAGGAATGAAGTGAATGTAGCACTGGCAACATTTTGGGCTCTCTGATGCAATCTTCTGTACTGTGTCACGGTTATACTTATATTTTAGAAACGTAGAAAAAAGTCAAAGATTGGACACTTTATGATGCCCTGTTTTTCAGGAAACATAGCCTAGAAAACAACTGTCGTTGGTCATAACTTCTACTTTGTTCAGTTACGTACATTGCTCCTCATTGTCCAACATAGTGGAGATTTGTCGTTGTTTATTATCAAACACAAAATACACAATAGCACAAAATGCAGAACTATGAGAGCATAAATGAAAGCATCAAATTAATCGTAATCATAAGAATTTGGACAGTAATCACACTATGTGTTATGAAAGACTGAAGAATGAAGATTACGTGCACTTGTACAAATGACAGTGGACAAATGACAATATCACTTAGCACATCTCTACACTGTTTATGTCTGTTGTGTCATTTTATTGTATGAGCGAGACATGTTAAGTCTGCATTAGGCCTCAGCCTGGCAGCATGTGAGCTGAGGGTCGGGCGGGCGGTTGGCTGCTCTGTGTTGTGTCAGCAACTCGCAGTAGAGCTGACAGCACTTGTCTTGTCCACCCAATCATCATGCGGCATTATGACTCTGGACAGGCACATTTCTGTGTGTGAGTTTTTGTGTGCTTATATGTCTTTGTGGGTTTGCATGTGCAGCTTTGTGTGTGCATTTTAGTCTGTCTTTGCATGTATGTGAGAAAAAACAATGGATGTTGTGTGCTTGTGTGTGTTTGTGTGTCAATGGCTGTCTCCTGGCCTGGCAGGCTGGGCACTGGGATGGATCTGCTTTCACCAATTTAGATAGGGGAAATGAGCTGGTAACCGGAAGGTCATTCATCCTAATCTTGGACTGTCAGTGAAAAGTGAGGCGACATGTGAACGAGTGACAGCCATTACTACCAACTAACTACAGTTAAAGTGCCATTTAGGAAGCTCTGAATGCTCCAACAGATAACCTCACTGAGCAGTCCTGGGAGAAAACCATTTTTCTCGAGCCACTCCTTGAAGTAAAAGTGAAAGACCCAAAAGAGCAGACTCATTAACTGCTCTGATAAACACAGCTTAAATAGGTGAAGGGCGTCCGAGTGACATCACAGTGTTGTTGCTGATATTGATAAAAAGTAGCCATTAAAGTGGCCATAATCAATATCTTTAGGTTAACAATTGATCACATTACTACTTGTATGTGAAAGATGATGCTTACAGTGGCAAAGTCACAGAGAATGAGCCCCCAACTCCACAGTTCTCTTTAGCTGTACGGAAAATGTTAGCGTCTTTCAGCCCAACTTAGATGGTGAACATAGTGGAACATTTAGTAGCTTAAATTTAAATATTTCCCTTTTAGGAGTTAGTAGAGACCAAAATTCATCTTCAAATGAACGCTTAAGGTGCTCCGTATCTGCTGGTTGTAGGCCCTATAAATAAGAGCTTGTTTCCACTTGTTTCTTGCCCTCAAGTCTAAAAGCAGACGTTTAAAAAAACAGGTTTAATGAAAGTGCTAGGGGGTTAAAAGGTAACTTCTACACCAAAAGTGACAGAAAATATTTCACTTTTAACATCATACTACCACTGCTGTTGCTTGATTGCAGGTTGCCAGCATCTCAGTGGCAGAAGTGGTTGGTACAACATCATTACCAGAGGACAGCAGGCCTCTCACGGGTTCATATCCTGCCCTGAGCAAGTAGCCCCAGAGTGATGGATATTACTAATTACCCTAACTGACCTTGCTGTCATTAAGAAACCATCTATGCAGTGGTTATAAAATCACATCAGCGTGCTAGTCGAGGAAAATGAATGTCATGCAATACAGAGGCCCTTACAGTAACTGGTTTGTGCTGAAAGATGGTATTGTAGGGAAAAAAAAGAAAGTGGAAGTGAAAGCTTACTTAGCAGGCTTACAGAGTGATAAGGAGTAACATCTGGGCTGATCGTAGAGATATGAGATATTTGATAATGCGATGCAATCCACCTTGCCCTTTTTGTCTTATGTTTTTTCTCTTTCTATTAATCTCTGCCTCCTCTCTTCCTCCTGGATAGTCACTTTTTCTTTCATTTTTTTCAGACTATCTCTCATTACAAACCCCCCTCCTTGCTACTTTGTCATGACAGATAAGACTAGAGAGGATTTGTTTTTTTCACTTTCTTCCCAGCAGATAGTCTGTCTTCTGATAAACTGTCATTTTTAGCCTCTAAGTCATTTTAATCTCAGAGGGAAATGTGCTCAGCACAGTATGTGTTTGTGCATTTGTGTGTGTGTTATGCACCGCTCCTGAAACACGCGCACACCCACATGCTCATATGACGATCACCAGTGTTGTTTCAAAGATGATATCAAAAGCACTATTGATAAGCAGCAGAGAGGGATCATCCATCTTTTTGCACTGTAGATAACCTAAACCCAACACCACACACACACATACACACTTATACACACATTCACATCTGGTTTAAGGGGAAGGAGGAGAATGAATATTAGGTCTTGTCCCGATAGTTCTTTTTATAATCCCAGAAGAGATTGGACAGTGTGATACTGGACAAACATACTTAGTATAAACAATTCCTGAGCCTCTTGAGAACCTTAAGTGGGGATTGAGATCTTGCCATGAGGGAAGGCACCTATTTGGCCTAATGGTTCCTGTGTTAACATTGAGAGGCTGCTGCAATAATGCAAGTCCATAGGCTTCCTATATCCGGATATATAGAGTGTGCTGATTGACCAGAGAGACACAGAGACCACACCAGGACACCAGAGACCGTCCACTATAGAAATAATGTCTGTCTGTAAGCATAAAAGCAGTGCTGTCAGCACATCATGTTGATGCTAATGCGGTTTACATTGTTTTTACAGAAAGTCAATAGTTTGAACCACCAACTTATATTGTTATCCCAGGACATTGTGTATTTACCCAAGATGTTTTACTGCAATGCCTACACATACATTCAACTTAAGGCTTGTGAGAACATTAAAGACATAAAGTTCCTTTAATGGCAGCCAGAAGCTGAATCCAAAATGTCTCTGTTCTGAAGTGACTTGTTCCCTGCTTCGTCGTAGGGTTGCAACTCACGATTGTCTTCATTATCAATTCATCTGTTTATTATTTCCTATATTAATAGTCTTGTCTATAGAATCATTTATTATCATTTCAAGCACCTAAAGTTACATGTTCTACTCAACTAACCGTCAGATTTTCTGTTTACAATCATGTATGACCAAAAAAAGCCTCAATTGCTCACAGAAGCTGGAACCAGTAAATACTGGGCATTTTTGCATGAAAAAGTAGTTGCCAATGTATTTCCTATCAGCTCTACAACGTGGTACAGTCAGCATATGCATCCCACTCCATTGCAGTTTGTATTGTGGTCGCGGACCTTTGTGTAATCTCTTTTCAGGGTCTTTAGTTTGTTCTCTATTTGCTTTTGAATGTAGGTCTAGCGCTGCTGAACTAGCAGCTTTGTGATGTTGTTATACACTGCCAAATCTTTAACCACGCTTGTTATCTGTCAATTTATCTCCTCCTTTCCTCCCATAGCCAGAAGCTCACAACCTACCTACCGCATCTTGCTAGTTCTTCATGTACTCTTTGTACTGTAGTTACTTGGCTCCTTCCCTTCTACAAGCCTGTAAATCAGAAGAGATTGGTTACCAGGTGTGGATCTTAGAGGTCTTTAATACGCTCTCAGCCTTGGTGGTTGCCGCTCCACACTGTTGCCCAGATTCAAATTTTCTAAATCTTAACTGTGAGCCAAACTCCCGGCTTTCAAACATCCCGACACAGACCTATCTGTGACATCGAAGACGCTGTGTACATGTTTTCCTGACGTCTACAAGCTGAACCTGTGTTCTGACCTGCATGCAGTGGCTGTAATCAAAACACAGACACAATCAATAAGGTGTCACAAGAGCTGTAGACTCAGCATGCGTTCCCTAACCCTAACCCTCCCACAAAAAATAACAAGCAAAGACCGCAACTCAACAGATTTGCAGTGTAAAGGTTTATTGTTGTGGAAGTAATGAAGGTTGAGTGTGGTCAAGTGAAGAAATGCTGGCACGAGGCGAGTCCATGAGGAGGAGAGAGGAAGGGTGAAGTGATGGACGTCATCTCAGCTGAGAGTTTTTGAGGGGACTTACAAGAGGCAGGACAATAAAGTGGTTTCTGGAAGGGATGTGAGAACTGTATACTGCCTACTGAATAGACCTTTTTCACATCAGCCATTTTGACATGAAATGGTAGGGTAAAAACAGGTGTGTCCAATGATACTAATTATGGTTCTGTTGCATTTAATGTAGCAGGGCTTTTCCAGTGAGCCAGAATGCACATTAGCAGCACCTTTACTCAGTTTGACCTGAATGGAACAGAACCATAATTAATATCATTGGTAACACCTGTTTACCCTAATATTTCAAGTCAAAATAGCTGCTGTGAAAAAGGCCTGTTGTCCTCTGAAGCCCCTTTTCCCCCACACCTTATTGCCATTTTTTTTTTGTGTACAAATGAATGCCATCAAGGAAAGATTGTAAGCCACATCTCCAGCTATTCCCCTACAATTTAAAAACATCAAACACATGCCTCTCCTTTGCTGCTTGCACAAAGGCACACTTTCACACCTATGCACACATAGCCAATTTCTATCAAAAGGGGGCATGGTTGTATGCTTGTCAGAAAGTTACAGAAATTGGGTGATGCAGACTATCCCTGTCAAGGAGTTAAACTGGATCTTATTGCCACAAGAAAGTTACAGTATAACAGCCTTCAAGGGGCTTCGCACAGACTTTACACATCCAGATCAATTCTGTAGTTATGGACAAAACAGTTAGAACAAAACAAAATAGTCCTCACAAGAGTTATGTTAGCTAGTCAGTGACAAAGGGGGTACCGGGCCTTGTTAATGAGGC